TATATATATATATATATATATATATATATATATATATATATATATATATATATATATATATATAAATTAAATAGGAAATAATTGATGGGTGAGCTATCGAAATTAGAGCCTATGTGTCGTGGGTAGTGGTAGAGCTAGGAATTTATACGAGAGATTAAAAAATTTGAGCCTGTGACCTATAGTACCATTTGAGTTATTCATTTGGGTGCATCTCTTTCTCATCAGAGAAAATTAGAGTGAGAAAAGACCAAATGTTACATATGCCGTGGAACGTGGTTCCTGGGACACAACTGCAGTTGATGCAATATCCATTTTAAGAGTTCTTTAAAAATAGTGAACCGAACAGTGGAATTACATGAGTTCCATTTTTTTGCCTTGCTAGTTTTAGAATGTACTCTGAAACCTTTGAATTTGGTCTTTCAGAGAGTAAGGACTTTCCCCTGATTACTAGCTAAGTTAGTTTTCTATACGTATATTAGGTGCTTTCTGCATGTATAAGCACTAAAGGCAAAGGAATGTACTGAAAAATGAGACTGCTTGCCTGAGAACAGTAAATATGGGGGGTAAAGCATTTTGACTAAGCATGACATACTATAAGCAAGGATCCATTTTTCTTTTATTTTATTATTTCCCGTCGTCATTGACCTCCTGATGTTACAACTTGGAAATAAGAAGACAATTTCAGATAATGATCTAAGAAATGTTTGTGGTGATTGATGAAACTCTAAAAGAAGTTGTGACCTTGGGACTTTAAATAGTTTAACTAAGGTACTGTGTTCATCCTGTGAAATTCATTTTGTTGTTGAACTTTGTTCATTAGTATATCGGGGAAGGAAAATGGATATTACTTGTTTGCAGCTGGAGATTTCAGTTTAACTTAAATGATTTTCTCTTTTCTGGATCTTCTTCAGATTACAATGTTGTTCATTGCTGACAGATTTCGTTAGTCTTTCTAATTGTTATAAGTTGGGATTACCTAATTTCACCAATGCTGACCATTTCAATTTGTTTTAGATTAGAATGGAAGATAACTTATGTGGGATCTGCTGAGGATGAGACTTATGACCAACTCCTAGAAAGTGTGTTTGTTGGACCTGTATCGTTTTGTGCTTCAGGTAACTATTACTCGCTTTCAACTTGCAATCTCACTTGACTGTTATGCTGTATGGATAGAGACTTATGCTGAAACCACTTTGCAGGCTGATCCTCCTGAACCATCCAAAATTCGTGAAGAAGATATTATTGGTGTCACAGTATTGCTATTAACATGCTCTTATGCGGGGCAAGAATTTATTCGAGTAGGATATTATGTGAACAATGATTACGATGATGAACAATTAAAAGAGGAACCACCTCAGAAAGTTTTGCTTGATAGGGTCCAGGGGAATATTTTGGCTGATAAACCCCGAGTCACGAAATTCCACATTAATTTCCATCCAGAAAACAATGACAATGGACAACCTACCTCTCCTGACCATGACAATGGAGAACAGGCTCCTGCCTCTCCTGACCATGCCGCAGAAGTCAATTTGCAAGGAGAAGAACCAAATGCTTCACCCAATAAATGTAATGTGCAGTGTCCTCAAACCTGAGAAACAAGAAACAAGACAGTTGCTTTGGCTGTCAAAAGTTTTCCTTCAGAGTTTGATATTTTAATGATGTCTTGTACCAATTTGTTATGGTCTCAAATCTACATTGCCTGAATGGTATTTTTTAACTTATGCCTTGAAATGTACACATGAAATGTTGTATCTGCTGGAGTTGTAGCTGAGACAAATCATTCTTAAATTAAATGCTTATTTACAGTCCAGAATTGAATTGCATATGGTATTTGCACGTGTTTTTATCTCTGATTATTATACCACCCACTTTTTCAGTCTCTTATCTGGTGATCGAATTCCAGTGTTGTGCTTTTTTCCTTGCCTTAGTGGTGAGATTTGGCTGTAAATTGGCAAATATGAGTATATCCATGTTTCAACTTATAATATCTGTCAGCATTTTGCTGAGAAAATGTATGCTCTGGAGGGGTGAAACAAGGGTCATCAATTTTGACCCATAAATATTCTGTTCAACTCGTCCAAACTTAAATAGGTTGAAGGAGTTTTGTAACCACTTTGATTTCAGTAGGTGTAATCCAAATGGCTAGGTATATGAAAGGTAAAGAAGACAAACTGAAGAAAGAGAAGGAAAAGAAAAGAAAAAAGGAGAATGCAATATTTATACATCCTCAATTACTCCAATTTTCATCTTGTGTTAATTTCCAGAACACATGATTGATAAGATTCAGACACAAAACACAATCAAAACTCACCTTTTACAAACATCAGAAAAAAGAAGAATTAAAAAAATGTAAAAGTGTGCGGAAACAAAGATACGTACCAATGTGGAAAGGCTTCAGAAAATTATTTAGATTTTAAAGAATACAATGTTGAAACCATCCTTAATCTTTACAATAACACTTCTAA